AATATCTGCAGGACCGGTGACAAGAAGAAAGTGATATTTGTATCTAGTGACCTCTTTTTCCATCGGAAGCAGAAATTTCTTCATATGCTAAGAGCAATGTGGGTGGAGGTGTGGTTGGAGTTTGGGGGAAAATGGAGACTAAGACAGGCAGGGAAATTAAAAGTTAAGGAGCTCTGGTAGCGTAGTGGTTACAATTTGGGCTGCTAACATCACAGTCAGCAGTATGAAACTATCAGCTGTTCTGCGGGAGAAAGATGAGGCTTTCTGGTCCTGTAAAGATTTAAAGCCTCAGAAACCCTATACAGGGTTGCTGTGAGTCAGAACCAAACCCACAGCACACCACCACAACCACCATCAGGGATCTGAACTATAGCAGTCTGGGGTTTGAAGTAGTGAGCAACCAGAAACTGCTCTAGGGAATGGGGAAAGGGTTGGAGTGTATGCAACCTCTACTCAAAAGACCTACAGGGAAAAAGTGTCTTCAGCAAAAAAAAAAAGCCAAGGTTTACTAGAGCAAGTAGTTGGAGGGACTATAGATAGTGAGGGCAGGACAGGGCTCACCATACACAGGGCTCCAGGGAGCCCAGGAAAAGGGCCTGAGAGGTAAGAGAATAAGCACTCCATGCAGAGACATTGGGGAGCCTTCTTGGGGAGTTAAAAATGTGAGTCTAGGGGCTATGATTGTTCTCAGTTCATTTGTCGTTGGGTGTGGTTATTTCTTCCAACAACAGGCGTATAAAGAGCCTGTGGCTCTCTCCAACACTGGTCATTAGAATACATTCATTTAACATTGATATGAGGAAGGTTTCAAAGAGTTCATTGGAAAATGGGATTGAAAGATAGTGGAATTTTTCCACAAACTTTCCGAAGCCCACTCACACATGCTTTTCCAAAAATGAAAACAAGTTTGTCAATGAAGATGCAGAAATCTAATTATTGAAAATTATGACTGTTGTTGTTAAGTGCCGTCGAGTTGATTCTGACCCATAGCAACCCTGTATAGGGTTTCCAAGGAGCACCTGGTGAGCTTGAACCACCGACCTTGCAGTTCAAACGACTTTGCAGTCTGATTCATTAGCCCACAAAGCCACATGATTATTGTTGTTGTTGTTGTGAAGTGCCGTTGAGTCGATTCTGACCCATGGTGACCCTGTTTAGGGTTTCCAAAGAGCATCTGGTGAGCTTGAACTGCCGACCTTGCAGTTCAAATGGCTTTGCAGTCTGGTGCATTAACCCACAGTGCCACAAACACTATTATTAGTAAATATTTCTGAATTGGCAAAAAGAGATTTACTTTGTTGAAGAAAAAATAAGCCAGTTGTTAAGTAAGAGATGCATAACTATATTATTAGTGCTGATTGTTAAGTAACGTCATTTCTAGTTGGGTGTGGTTATTTCTTCCAAAAACTGATGTATAAAGAGCCTGTGGCTCTATATGAGTTGGTCCCAACTCTTAAGGCTTCCAAGAAGCAGCTGGGAAGCTTGAACCGCTGACCTTGCTGTTCACACTGACTTTGCAGTTCAGTGCATTAACCCACAGTGCCACACCAGGACTCCATTATACTGCTGTTAAGTACAATCTTTGCTCTGTAATGCTTGTGTGGAGCTATAGGATAAGCACTCGACTGCAAGTTCAGTTTGAACCTCAAGATTGGTGGTTCAAACTCACCCGTCACTTCTCGGAAACCCTATACAGGGTCACTATGATTCAGAACTGACTTGATGGCACTTAACAATAACAAAGTTACACTGTCTTAATTGAAATCTAGAGTTGCATTGTTCAATATGGTAGCCATTGGCCACATGTGGCTATTGAATCCTTGAAATGTGGCTAGTCTGCATTGAAATGTACTATATGAGTAATGGGAGTCCTGGTGTGGCACTGTTGGCTAATGAGTCAGACTGCAAAGTCCTTTGAACTACAAAGTCAGTGGTTCAAGCTCACCAGCTGCTCCTTGGAAGCCCTATACAGGGTCGCTATGGGTCAGAACCAACTTGACAGTACTTAACAACAACCTCATAGTTTGGTTGTTATTATTGTTATGTGCCTGTATAGGGTTTCTGAGGAGCAGTTGGTAGGTTTGAACTGCTGACCTTGTGGTTCACAGTCCAGTGCTTATCCTACAGCGCCACACCAGGAGTCTGCACAGATTAAATAACCTACTGCCTTCGAGTGGACTCCAACTCATAGTGACCTTAGAGGACAGTGTAGAACTGCCCCATGGGTTTTCTTTAAATCTTTACAGAAGCAGACAGTCTCATCTTTCTCCTGCACAGTAGCTTTAGGTTTGAACCACCAACCTTGCAGTTAGCAGCCAAATACTTACCTCAAAGTGCCACTAGGGCTCCTTAAGCCTCAATAAGTGTCAGATATTATATTTGTCTTCTGTTTCTTTATTATTTTTATCTGCTCAGCTCTTACTATCCTTACATCTAAATTGTCATTAAAGGTAAATATCTTTAAAAAGATATTTATCCTTGCTACTGTGAACATCTCATCCTTGCTACTGTGAACAGATAATAAATTTAGCTTTACCTTGTAAGATGGAAATACAGTGTTTGAGCACCGTGCTAAACACTTTGGGGAGATAGAGCCTCAGATCAGAATTTAGAAGCTGGGTCTTATATGAGGTGTCAGGTGGAAACACCTGGATGTGCTTGCAGATGGCTCCTGGGGGTGGGTGGGCACAGAAGATAGCTTCTGCCATGGTGAGGGTCCCCCAGAGGGTCTGGAACCAAGCTGGGAGGGAGGCCCACACAAATAGGAATAAACTGTGTTTTGTAAACCATAGTATCTAGTTGCATCTATACTCTCTTGGTTTTCACTATCTCCTAGTCTTTAAAAAATTAAAAGGGGAGAAGGAAAAAGGCATTGTGAATTAATGCACTGGACAGCAAAGTCTGTTTCAACCTCAAGGTTGGCAGTTCAAGCTCTCCAGCTGCTCCTCGAAACCCCCCATACAGAGTCACTACGGGTCAGAATCGACTTAACAACAATAATATAGCATATTAAGAGACATGCTTAAAAAGAACAAATTAAATTGCAGACTTGAAGCTCTGTATGTGTGTGTGTGTGCTCAGGGTTGGGAGTGTTAGTCACTTGATGGGCTTGACTGCAGAGTGATCAGGCCTGGACCTTGAAAGTCATACTTCTTTTGGACTTCCTCAGAGAGGAATCCCCAAACACCTTTGTGGGATGGAGGGAGTGGGGGCAGTATATGTTGGCTATTGCAGCAGAAGAGGACTTGATTTTTCACATTTCAATAAACAGACATTATTGAATCCCTTTGTTTGCAGTAAGGTACCTCACACCTTCTCTTCCCCCATTACCCTCCCCTACCACCTAGCTGGAGTCCTAATGTGACAATGTAGTATAAAGTACTGGATCACAAGATCGGTTTGAACCTCAAGGTAGTGGTTCAAACTCACCAAACGCTCCTCTGAAACCCTATACAGGGTAGCTATGAGTTGGAACTGATAGATATCACTTAACAACAACAAGAATAGCAACAACCAAGTTGGAGTCCTGGTGTGGCATTTTAAGATAAAGCACTGGGCCACAAGGTCAGTTTGAATCCTAAGATCAGCGGTTTAAACTCTACCAGTTGCGCTTCAGAAACCCTATACAGGGTGGCTCTGGTAGCGTAGTGGTTACGAATCGGGCTGCGAACCTTAAGGTCAGCGGTTCGAAACTACCAGCTGCTCCGCGGGAGAAATATGAGGCTTTCTACTCCCATAAAGATTGACACCCTCGGAAACCCTATACAGGGTCGCTATGGGTCGGAATCGACTAGATGGCACATAACAACAACAACAACAACGAGTAGAAATAGACTCACTGACACCTTATAACACCATCAAGTCACTCAACTTTGGCAGTGCTGAGAATCATGCCAAGTATTATGACTTCCAAACTCTTAACTATTAAGCTATTCACTTTATTTGAAGAATAAATTACAGAAATTAGCAATGGCAGCTAACAGTGTTGGCACAAGAAGGGTGATTCTAGGACTCTGACATTGGAGAGACTCATCTGGGCTGGCTGAGATGTATCCATCTCTGAAGGCACATTTGGGATTTCTCCTTGAAGAAGGAGGCCTTGGCATCAGCAAGAGCTCGTCTGGGAGGGGTTATAACCTACACCAAGTTCTATCTGCCTCAATAAAGCAGTGCCATATTATGCAGTCTCATTTGGAAATGTATCTTTTTTAGGGCTGCATAAGTTGCTGCAATATTCTCCTAGATTTCATTTATTTTATATGTGAATTTTTTTTTTAAATAAGAGAAATAATGTTTACTCTTCTCCTTTGTGGATTTCCCCATCTGACTTTCATTTTTAAAACCTTTCTGAGGCTTTCTGCTCCTGCAAAGATTTATAGCCTCAGAAACCCTACACAGGGTTGCTGAGTCAGAACCATCTTGAGGACACTTAATAGCAAGAGTTCAAAAGACTGAAGCCTGGCGGACTATCTTGTCCCTACATGGAGCTCAAGTGCATACAGCCCAAGTGCACTGGGGAGGAGGATGGGGGGACTTCTGCCTCCTGTTCTGAGGCTGAGGCTGGTGGGCAGTTTCTCTCCCACATTTCTCATTTTTACTCAGCCCTTGTAGGCATTCAGGAGCCCTGAAGGCGCCATGGGCTAAGCGTTGGACTGCTAACCAGGTTCAAACCCACCAGCCACTCAGCGGGAGGAAGATGAGGCTGTCTGCTCCCTTAAAAATTTAGTCTCAGAAACCCTCTATCCAACAGGGTTGCTATGAGTAGAAATCGACTCGACGGCAGGCAGTGGGTGGTGAATGAATCGAAGGAAGGAAACAGCGGTTTGGCTGTCTCTAGAGAGAAAGGGCGAAAGAGTGTGTGTTGAGCTTTTGAAGGGAGAGACCGGGGAGGTTCCCGGGACGGAGTGTGAAGTTGCTTCCACTCAGAAGAGTGGTTGGCAGGGTGGGTATAGGCGACAAGGGGGCAGGAGAGAGACAGGGACCAGGAGATCGGTGCTTACCCCAGGAAGGTGAGGAACCGCGGGTCTGTGGCCAGGTTGGCGTCGATGGTTACGGACAGGAAGGCGGGACTCACCAGGTGCACCGGCCACTCAGTGGAGAAGTCCAGCTCCACGGTGCTCTCCGCTTGCTCTGGTCCCGCCCGGACTCCCGGACAGAGGAAACCGAGTGACCCCAAGAATAGCAGCAGTTGCAGCTGCAGCCCCGACTTCCAGCGCAGTAGCATCGCGCGTTCACCTGGCTGCTCCAGCCTCGAGCCGCAGCGAGAGAAAACCCAGAGCTAGCGCACTTCCTCCTGCTTGCCACAATGGCTTGCACTCCTCGCCTCCACCCTCCCACTCCTCTCACCCCTCCCACTGGCCCTCCACCCCTCCTGCTCCTCCCCTGCATCCCTCCCGGGGCTCCCGCTCCTCCCGGCCCGCCCTTTCCCTGGGGTTACTCCCACTTCCTTGCTCGCTTTTCCCTTGGTGGTGGTCACGTCTACTTACGAAATCACCCACACCCATCTGACGGTTGTTGAGATGGCCTGGAGGGAGCGTCGGGGCAGTAGCGTTGGACATCTGGGATTGACCTTCCTGCTCTTTGGAGAAAACACCACTACCAGGTCCCTTCCAGGTGGCACCATGTCTTCCTTTCGTGACCCTGAACTAATAATGCCTGCAGTTGAGCAATCGTGACTTCCCCTCCCATCTGGTGTATAAACACATGCCTGTCATTGGAGCCTGCCAAAAATTGATTGACGGTGTCCTCCGACCACTATTGCCTGTACCTGTTTCAGTACAGCTAGCAAGAGATCTGCCACCAAAAGTTCCGTATCAGGCTTTCATGAAAACAGTCTTTTGTTGTTGCTGTTGTTTGGTTCCTACTTATAGCTACCATATGCACAACAGAACAAAACACTACCGGGTCCTGCCCCAACCTCACAATCTTTGCTAAACTTGAACTCATTGCTACTGCAATCCATCTTCCTGGAGGTGTTCCTCTTCCCGGATCCTCCCCTTTACCAAGCATGATGTCCTTTTCAGGGACTGGTCCCTCTTGATAATATGTCCAAAGTCTGAGAGACGAAGGTTTGTCATTCTGGATTCTAAGGTGCATTCTGGCTGTACTTCTTCCAACACAGATTTATTTGTTTTTCCAGCAGTCCATGTTACTTTAAACATTCCTCTCCAACACATAACTCAAATGCATCAATTCTTCTAAGGTCTTCCTTATTCTATGTCTAACTTTCACATACATATGAGGTTATTGAAAATACCATGGCTTGGGTCAGGCACACCTTAGTCCTCAAACGGACATCTTTGCTCCTTAACACTTTAAAGATACATTGCACAGCAGATTTGCCTAATGCAATATGATGTTTGATTTATTGACAACTGCTTCCATGAGTATTGATAATAGATCAAAGAAAAATGAAATATTTGACAACTTTGATCTTTTCTCCATTTATCATGATTTTATTTATTGGTCCAGTGGTGAGGATTTTTGTTTTGTTCATTGTGGTACAACCCTGTGGCTGTGGTCTTTGATCTTCATCAGTAAGTACTTTAGTTTGCTTCCAGTAAACAAGGTTGTATCATCTGCATATTTCAGGTTGTTGATGAGTCTTCCTCTAATCCTAATGCCATGCAATCCAGTTTCGCAGATTATTTACTCAGCATACAGATTGAATGACTATGGTGAAAAAAGACAACCCTGGTATGCACTTTTCCTGCTTTTAAACCATTCACTGTCCCCTTACTCTGTTCAAACCACTGCCTCTTGGTCTATGTACAGGTTCCTCAATAGCACAATTAAGTGCTTTGTAATACTCATTCTCTACAATGTTGTCCATAGTTTGTCATGATCCACACAGTTGAAAGCCTTTGTGTAGTCAATAAAGCACAGGTAAACATGTTTCTGCTATTCTCTGCTTTCAGCCAAGATCCATCGGACATCAGCAATTTTATCCATCATTCCACATCCTTATCTGAGTCCTGCTTGAACCGCTGGCAGTTCCCTGTCAATGTACTATTGCAGCCATTTTTAAATTATCTTGAGCAAAATTTTACTTGCATGAAATATAAGTGATTTTGTCTGATGATTTCTGCATTCCATTGGGTCATCTATCTTTGGAATGGGCATAAATATGGATCTCTTATAGTCACTTGTCCAGGTAACTGTCTTCAGATTTGTTGTCTTAGATGAATGAGTGCCTCCAATGCTACATCACTATTACCTGCACCTGCTTAAGCACAGCTACAAAGAGATCTGCCACCAAAAGCTCCTTATCAGGTTTTCATGAAAGCAGCCTTTTAGTAGAGCCTTAAAGTGTCACATGTGACCCTGTAGGGTAAGCACTGGACTGCTAGCCACAAAGTCAGAGGTTCAAACCTCCTTGAAACAAGGTTGCTATGAGTCAGAACCAACTTGACACCACTCAACAACAAGTATCAGGTGCTCCAATATCTGAAATCCATAGACAAAGCCAGACCCCATAGACTATAGGATTGTTGTTGTTGTTGTTTAGTGCCCTCAAGTCTGTTCCAACTCATAGTGACCCTGTATAGGGTTTCCAAGGAGAGACTGGTGAGTTTGAACCACAGACCTTGTAGTTCAAACTGATTGAGGTCCAGTGCCACACCAGGACTCCCCTTTTATTTGGAACCTTCAACAACTTTTCCGCTGTACAGTCATCTTTCTTTCTTTTTTTTTTTTTATTGTGAATTGAGTGAAAGTTTACATGGGAAATCATTAGTTTTACATTCAACAAATCATATATTGTTGCATTGCAATTATTATAGTCTCCTCCATGTGCTATCATTTACCAGTACTTACCTAGTCCCCCTTTTCTTTTTCTTTTTTTAAGCTTTTATTATGACTTGAGTGATAGTTTACATGGAAGAACATCGGCTTTACACCATCGTATCATTGCAATGATTACAATCTCCTCTGTGCATCATCATTCAACAGTATTTGCTTCTATTCCCTCTTTTTTTGGGTGGGGAGGATGAAAGGGCATGTTCTGCAGGAATGCTGCCTGGCTACCAGCACCAGCCTTTCTTTTTCCATGAATCTAGAGTCCTCAGCTGCTCTCTTTCTCCATGTCCTCATCTCTGCCTCCATCTCTGGTGTTGCTGCTTCTCTAGATAAGGTCTCGCATTCTGCTTGTGCTCTTCTCCCTTGATGGTCCTAGGGTCCTCTGTTCCTGGACTATAAGATGAAATACTCCCTCATACTCGTTACAAAACTTCTACCTTTACAGTTGTGACAGTCACAGTTAGTAATGATAACAATTACTTGCTATTGAATCAAAAGAATCTTATCCCCATCTCTTTTCACCAGACCCATCTAGACAAGATGAATACTATTCAGTGGGGATTCCACCTTCCCCCACACACTCTGAAACTGAACTCCCTCTTGAAAATGCATAAGCCAGTCCCTTCATGCCTTTATTGCCCATCCCACCCCAATTTTAGGTAGCCAATGTCTAAGTTGCCTGTCCTTATCTACCCTGTATACAGAGGGGATAAGATTGATCCTTGATGTAAAGACTCCTTCCCACTCAGTTGGTATTTTGAGCTAATACATCCATAAGAATAGGTCATATTCATCAAATTGTAGCAATTTATACTTGTTTCCATTGTAAAAAAAAAAAAATTTTTTTTTTTCGTCTTCCTCTAGTCAAGTTCTGATCCTCAAGATATTGAAGCTAGGTCAAATGGGTACTATCTACAAGTTTGGGTGTTCTTTGTGTCTCCCCTCAGCTGGATGCTTTGCTCTCATGGCTATGACCTTGTCCATGGGTTCAGGAGTCCCCAAGTCTCACCACATTTCGGACCAACCATCCCTTCTTCTTCTCTCTTTCATCTCCAGGTCAATGGGAGTCTATAGAACATGGTCGAACTCAGCCCGTATCTTCACTGCTGCTTTTCCCCCTCTTCTACTCACCGGGAGACCAACGTGGTTGCCAGTAACCTTAGATGCCTACTCATGTGTTTTCTAAGAGTTTCAGTCTTGGAGGGAGGTTTTCCTGAAGGGACTTGATTACTTGCCTTGATGGCTCCCCAGTGAACAACTTGCTTGTTCTTGTAGTATGTACATTTATCTTTGCTTTTCTTGTTGGACTGCTAACTGAAAGGCTGGGTTGAAACCCATGACCCACTCCACAGGAGAAAAATGAGGCAATCTGTTTCCCTAAAGATCTGCATTCTCGATAACCCTACCAGCAGTTCTACTCTGTCCTATCTGGTCACTGTGAATCATAATTGATTCAGTGGCATTGAGCTTGGGTTTTAGTTTGGTTTGACACATATGCTGATATGCCAGAAGCCTTTCGAAAATTCCATGGAATATTCCGTTGTATTTTTATTCCATTTTCCCATTAAGTGTTCTGAGGCCCTCTTGAATTGAATAACAAGCACCATACAGTTAGTGCATTTACAAATGATTAAGGTGCTTTAAAGAGCTCTGGTAGCACAGTGGTTATGAATTGGGCTGATAACCTCAGGGTCAGCAGTTCAAAACTACCAGTTGTTCTGAAGGAGAAAGATGAGGTTTTCTGCTCCCATAAAGATTTACAGCTTTGGAAACCCTGAACAGGGTCTCTATGAGTTGGAACCAACTCCATGGGACATAACAACACAACATTGCTGAAGGAAAGATCGGAGGTTTGAGTCCACCTAGAGGCGCCTGGAAAGAAACCCTATGGAGCACAGTTCTGCTCTGTACCAGGAGTCAGAATAGGCTTAAAGAAAAACTGATTAGTTATAAGCGTTTTGCCTGTATTATCTCTGAATTCTCACAACTCTGAAAAAATGTATATTATCCTTACATATCAGGATCCATTTTACACAAGAGACATTAATTTTTCCATATGTCAGACTAGAGATGTGAACTCAGTTACATGTCCCCACACACTCTGCTTCAACTGAAATGTAACTTTCTCACGGAAGCTTTCCCTAGACTTACAGGTGCAGATCTATGACACATTCTTATAACCCCTTGAACTTGGTAGAACGCAGCACATTTGCTATCAGTGTGACTGCTCAGTGTTAGCCTCTTCTGTTACCTTGTAAACTCCATGAAAGCAGAGATGAGGTCTGCCTTACACATTGCTAGCCACAGCTCATGAACAATAACACCAAAACCCTTAGAGTTCCCACATGACAGGAAGAAATGGAGATGGACACACAGAGAGGACTAAACATTTTTCCATCTTTGTCATGACATTAATCCTACCCCATC